CTCCCAGCACTGAATTACAGCAGTGGGGCTACCTTTTCCCATGAGATCCTGGCCTTCTTCGGGCACAGAGCCTTGATCAGGCAAGCAGGAGCAACAGGCCATAAATCAATGTCTGCTCCACCGTAGATCTCCATGGGTGGCAGGGGGGGGCCGCCCTGCCGTCTCCCCACAGGATACAGGGGGGTCTCTGCTCTGGCACACCTCCCCCCTCCTTTCTTCCTCCGTTCCTCCACTGACCTTGGTGTTCATGCAGCTGCAGCAACTCCTCCTCACAAGTCCCACTGCCCGTCACCACGTCCCTTCTTAAATACGTTATCGCAGAGGCACAGCTGATTGGCTCAATTTCCCAAACAGAGCTGACGTGGAGCTGGGGGAGCTTCGAGAAGCTTCTCACAGGGGGCCTCCCCGATAGCCCCCTCCCCTGCCACCAAAAAACTCCACCACTCACTCAACCCAGGACAAAGGGTAAATGGAGATCTACTCCACGGGGACCTCCCTCGCTGTCCCTCGTGCCCCGATACAAAGTTCGACCCAGAACCCGTGAGTTCCTGAGCTTGCTGCCGTTACGACCCAGACAAGTGTGCTACTGACCTCTATTTATTGCTACTACCACTATTCTGAAATAAACAGTCAATCCCTGGCGCTGTGGGTCGGGAGTCTGTCAGGAGGGCTGGGGCAATGGGCTCGGGGGACGGGGGGTGGTTTCAATTCTTCCGGGGGCTGGAGGGTCCTAGGCTGGTCCCACAACAGCTGGCCAGCTGTGTCTGACGGATGTGGAGGCCGGGGTGGAGGTGGGCGGGCCAGGCATCTGTCCGGGCTGGCGAGGGCCGGTCCCCTGGAGCGCTGTGCCAGGCCGGCCAGTTCTCCAGGCAGAGGTGACGGCCGCTGGTGTCGGGTCCAGCTCTCAGGGGTGCCGGGGTGGGCCGTCCGGACGGCTGTCCGGGCGCGAGGGATGGCTGCTGGGGTTGGGCTAGGCTCCTGAAGCTGCGGAGGGGCGCCTGTGGAGAGAGGAGACTGCTGAGGCCCCGCGGTGGCTGCGGTGCCGGGTGGGTGCCAGGGTGCGGGGCAGCGTGGGCACCCCATGGGTCGTGGGCACCCGGCTGCACGTGGGAGCTGTGGGCACAGAGAGCTCTGTGCAGAAAACGTGGGTGCCCTGCACCCCTCGGCTGGGGCTCTGCTCGCCTCCCCACGGCTCATCTCCTCTCGGCCCTGAGCAGCCTGACCTGCCTGCTCTGCACGTGCCGCCAAGGGCACTTGACCCCGGCAGAGCGAGGGGCCCAGAGCTGGGCACGGCACTGCAGGGCCAGGAGAGCCTCCTGTTCTCCTTTCTCGGCGTGCCTGCCAGAGACCAGCACTCGGCTCCCGTGCCCGTCCCTGCCCAGACAAGGGGACAGCCTTGTCTGTCGGAGCGTTTGGCCGGTAACTATCTCGGCACGCCAGAATACCTGGCCTCCAGACGCTTCGTGGCTAATAGCAGCCATCTGACACACAAGTTTGACAACACTCACCGTTTTCGCTTCCTCCACAGGTGGAACACACAACAAAACACCATCCCAAGCAGCATGGAGCCCAGGACTGCCATGGCACCCTCCACGCAGTACTCCATGAAGTTTCCATGACCCGCAGCATTTGCATTTGTCTTGCCACCCACACCTGGAGGAACAATGCTCTACTTTAGCGTGTCCCGCACGCTACTGGTGATCTCACAGGAGGTCTGACGTTGCCAGGAAACGTTCCTTCGCACTTGCTTGGCCTCCCTGAACCGGTGAACGTCCTGGGGCTGCACCGTTTCCTTGGTTTCGGTAGAAGCCAAGGAAACTCCCAAGGCCGTTGCAAATCAACGCGCTCTGGAGCCTCTCTTTCTGCTCTCAGCTTTGCTTGCACTCTGGGGTGGCCGTAACCCAGTTTTCGCAGTGTCCCCGGTCTGCTCCCCCTTCTCGGTCACCTTCCGCATTTGCGCACAATTTCTGCTGCGCTCGCCCACCTCCACTCTACGAGGCTCGCTGCTAGTGCTGCTGCATGGAGGCTCTCCCTGGCCCTCTGGGACAACTTGTCCCACTGAACTGAACTCATGAGGCCAAATGGAGAGCACGTCGGGGAGCACAGCTCCCGTTGGACCGATCGACCCTTTGAGTGAGATGGACAAAAGCCATCCCTGCCTCAGGGAGTGCCACCCCCAGCTCTCCCTCCCCAGCTCCGCACCCACACCCTGAGGGGACAGAGTCAGGCCCTCTCGGGAGACACCTGAACCTCGCCCTCTCTCTTCGCCTTCCCTCCAGCATGGGCCCTGCTTGCACACCGCCTGCTTTTGGGGACGCGTCTCCCACTTATGGCCCCCTGCCAGACGGCTCAGTACCTGGACTGCTTCGAAAAACTTCATATGTCCCTGCGCGGTGGGCGTTCCCGGGCTTGGACAGAACTGCATAGAAACCAGAGAAAGGGAAAGCCTCAGAGAACTGGGGACGCGTCTCCCACTTATGGCCCCCTGCCAGATGGCTCAGTACCTGGACTGCTTCGAAAAAATCCATATATCCTGGCGCGGTGGGCGTTCCCGGGCTTGGACAGAACTGCATAGAAACCAGAGAAAGGGAAAGCCTCAGAGAAAGGCAAAACCTCAGAGAAAGGGAAATGGCTCAGGCGCAGAGGTTGCAGGAGGATGGTGGAGGTTTCCCCAAAGCCTGTGCCCGACATGTCAGTGCATCCCTTTGGACCTCAGGTCACAGGAGGGATCCCCCGCTGCCGTGCCTGGGGCCTCTAGGGACCCAGGGCAAGCTCTGGCCTGCAGCTATTGCAGGGGGGTACGTTCCATTAAGAGTCGCATTTCCCATCATCTGCTGAGCGTGGCTCAGATGGTCTTGTTCCCCAAATGACTAAGTTCTGAAAGTCCTGTCAACGGGGTGTGGTGGGAGGTGAGCATCTCTCTGCATCCACGGAGGGTTACGAGGGAGCATCTCCCCGGCGCGCTGACGGCAAGCGCCTCCACAGCCCAGAGGTGACCGGCATCCTCAGAGAGCCGGTCCTGGCTGCTGCTTTTGAAGCACTCGCTCTGTACCACCAACTCTTTTGGGTTGTGCTGCCGACAGGACGCGCGGTAGAGGGCACTGGGGGAAGAGCCTGAAGACACGGAGTGATTTTGATGCGTGGTGCTGGAGGATCAAAGGACGGCAATTACCTGGGAGGCCTGTTGACTGAATTGCCCCCGTTTTTGCATCAGACACTCTCACTGCCTGACTGCGTCCTCCCTGAAACGCCTCGTTCTCCACAGTCTCTTGGTCCGTCTCTTTAGAAAGAAAGAAGGACAATTGAATTAGAAGTAACCGTTCCTCATCAGGAACACAGTATCTCCAGGAGGCCATACTTCTCAACATCCCTTCATGACGCTTAGAAACAAAGCCGGGACATTTGGGGGTGTACCTAGTGCCTAGTCCCAGTGACATGTCATTCATGGAGGACAATTTAAGCACTAGACCCTTTCCACTTTAACCAGCAGACAGAAAATCCTGACCTGCTGGGAGACTAGGAGGTTGCACGTGAGCTTGTTCGCATTCCACTTAGTGCATTTTTGGCAAACGGCAAGATGATGGTAAATGACAGAATCTGTCAGAGGGGACAGGAAGATGCTGTAGCCAGTTCAGCTGGGGAAAGAGCCCTTCTGAGCAGCACTTCCCATCGTGTCAACTCCATCCCACGGTCAGGGTAACAGACACGCATGGTGGACTGAAGCGCCAGCTCTTGCAACCATACTCTGGGCATTTTCACAAGTGGCACTGACGAGCCCGCAGTGCCCCGAAACAAGAGGACAACCACAACCGACCGATCCAAAGCACGACTAGACGCAGGCGCAGCTAAACCAACCGAGACTGAATTCACAGCCCTTCATTTGAGCTGCCTTCAAGTTTGGCGTCTGGCCTCAAGCTGGGTGTCCAGCTTGTACCTTTCCGTGGCACTGAGGTGTCACCGACCATCCTCAGGCATCAAGAACGACGAGGCTGGACCGGGTTGTGAAGGTGGGGCTTCTCCGACCCTGGCCAGGGCACGCCTGCAGCCCTGGCAGTGTCCTGCTGCTCTCAGCTACCCCAAGCTGCCTGCGCATCCTCTCCGCAGCCCAAGGGCACTCTCCCCTCGGGTGGGCGACCGGCGGGGTGCTGGCCCTCTCATGACTTGTCAGGAACCAGCTCCTTGGCAAGTCTGTCACACATTCCAGGCGTGAGGAGCACCAGTTCCTGCCAGCTGGGTACCAAGGTCTGCCCAGAACAGCTCTGACCCCGGTAAGGCTCTAACCGGGGCAGCAGCTGGTCCTGGCACTCGGTTTGAACCGCGACTGGCAGCAGAGAGTCGGGCATCTCTGCAGCTCGCCAGCGCCTGCAAGGCTGTGAAACTGAGTGTGGCCGCAGTGAGGCTCTGAGCGACCCCCTCCTCCTGCTGTGCAGGCTACGGCTTGTCCATCCACGCCCCCAAGACCTCCGCTTCCCACGGCTTCTGGTGAAGAGCAATCATCTCTACCCACCATGTGCTGCTTTGTCCAGTTCCTTCAGGACTCCCTCTAGGACTTCTGATGACCGCGGGGAAGATTTTTCCATTTCCGCTCTGTACTTGGCTCTCGGAGGACCTGAACGGAAATCACAAAGTTAAATTTCTGGCAAATAGACTACTGGGAATGAGTGCTTAGTCTGTGGTCAGTCGAGACTGACCACTCACCCCTGCGATGCCAGGTGAGCTCCAGCGCAGGATCCATCCGAGAAGCGGGAAGAGCCCTCCCTGCACCCACATCTGCAACCAAACACCCACGAGAAGTTTCCGTCACTGCGCTGGGATACAATACACTGACACAGCTGAATAGCAGAACATAGAAGGGCATCACGTAACGACCTGGCACACACAGTGCAGGTCGTCTGCATTCTCACACCCGCAAGAGATGCCTCGCCCACATTTGGCCTTTGAGCTGGCAGCTCCCAAGGGAAGCAAGAAGCCGGGACGTACCCACGCGATCTCCCTGAGCGTCAGCCCTGGAAGCCAGGCTGGGAAGCTGGGTAGCCATCGCCTCCAGCCACGTCTGTAAACAAAGAGAACCGAGAGGCTCCCATGAACTGTATTTCACTATACAAAACAATACAGGGGCGTGAAGGCAGTTCAAACAGGGGATTGCTCCATGGCACTCGTCCCCCCCCTCCCCTCAGGAGCACTGTGCAGACAGGTACTGGGGGCCTGGGCCACGCTGATCCAGAAGGAAAGCGTGCACGGAGGTATCGCTCCGGAGAAAGGACTCCCTGCCGCTCACACCAGCTCCAAGAAACTCAGCCCAGCAAGCCCGCTGGCTTTGCAGCAGGCGCTGGAAGCAGCGCAGGGTTGGAGAGGCTGGCCCAGACAGCTTCCCAAGGCAGAGTGCCCTGGGGCACATCAGCGAGCCCAACACATTCGCCCCCTGCTCTTCCGCACGGCGGAGCGTCGGCCAAGAAACTGTTCAGTTCAGTGTTGTCCTGGGCACAGAAAATGAAAACCTAGCTGCTCCCTCATTCCAGTGACGTACCTGTGGGATCGCCCTGAGGCTCCCAGAGAAGATCCGGCGGAGAATTCGGGTGGCCACTGGCTACGGGCACAGCTGTAATCAAGCATGTTCCCATTAGATGTGGGGATCTGCTTCTTTCTGGGTGACCTGCACTGACTGGAAGGGGCTCAGGTAACGACAGGGGAGCCAGCTGTGGGTGGAGGTTTATTGCCGAAGCTGCCGAGGGGCCTGGGTGACCTGTTTGCTGCACCTGGAGGCTTTCAACAGACTGTTCTTTCCAGGCCACGTGCAACAACACCCCTCAAGGCCCAGCGGATGGACAAAGCTACGTAGGGCCCCTGGGGATTTTTCTCACGGGGAGGTCTCTTCTGTGCACAAAAGCAGCCCACGTGAAAGCAGCGGAGGAAAACAGCGATCACTCATTCACACGTCTCGTGGAGAAGAGAGCCCTGGCCAGGCAGAGGCTGCTGCAGCAGCGCTGCCCTGTCCGGTCGCCATCTGCTCCCCGGGCTGTGGGCTGGGGACGTGTGTCCCACGGGGACCCGGGTTCGCCCAAGGAGAGGGAGCACTGCAGGGCTGGGGCAGGAACGCTCCTCTTTTCTTTCCTGAGCGGCCAGATCTCGCTCAAGGCCGGCCGGCCCCAAGGCTGAAAGCCGGGATGCCGCTGGGGAGCGGCAGAGCCACCAACCTGGGCCCATCTGGCAGCGAGCAGCCCGGGGAAGAAGTGCTCCCGCGGGCTCTTGCCTGGCTCCTGCAGTGCTGCTCCGGCCCTGGCACACAGCCCGGGGGAAGGCTGCCCCGGGGCAGGGCGGCACAGGGCTGGCTCGAGGGACGGTTGCTCCCCGCCGCCCCCGGCCCCACCGTTCGTTCCCCTGGAAAACGCCCCCACAGCGGCCGCAGCCCCCTGCGCCTCCCCGCAGGACATCTGCCTCCCACTGCCCGTGGAGCTGGGCACGGCTCCCCCGGCCCGGCCCGGCCCCGCTGTCACCCCGAGGGGCAGTGGGTGCCGGGCCGCGCTGCCAGGGCTGGGTGCTGGCCCTCACCTGCCCGCACGCCTAATCCCCGCGCTCGCCACCGCGCACCGCTGACACGCCGGGCTTGCAGGGCCACCAGGACGAGGAGGAGGAGGCGGGTGGGGGCCATGGCCCCCTGCGCCTGCCCCGCGCCGCTGCCGCTGCCGGCACTGCTGAAGCGGTGCCCGCGGCACAGCCCTCCAGCGCCGGGCGGGGCCCGGCAGGGCTCTGTGACGTCAGAGCCCGGCCTCCGCGCGTCACCGGGCCCCTGGGGCACCGCCCCTGCCCCGAGCACCGCCCCCGGCCCGCCCCGGCCCCCCCCGGCCCCTCGGGAGGGCGGGGGGCGCCTGTGCCAGCCCATTGCTGCCCCCGCGGCGGGGCCCTGGCAGGCGGGGGACGCTCACCTCATGGCCCTGCCCCGGGGGGGAAGGGTCAGCTTGGAGACCCCCGGAGAAAGATTCCGCCGGGGGCGAGAAAGACGTTCTCTGGGTCTGGGAAAGGCAAAGGCATCCCTCACCGGCAGAGCGAGGAGATGGCCTGCTTGGAGCACGGGCACCCTGCACACCTCGGAGGGGCTACGTTGCCAACTTGGCCAGCAAACTCAAGCTCCGCGGCTCCTTCGCGGAACTCGCCTCCTTCTAATGCTAAAAATCCCGCCGGCAGGTCAGAGAGAGCCTTGTCCGGGGGAAGAGCCTTCCCCTGGCTGGGGCGTGCCACCACACGCGTTGTGGCAGCAGTGGCAGAATTGCACGGGAACTACTGTGAAGAATGTAACATAAAGCATTTTACTTCAGCCATGTCAGAAACAAGCTCATGTATATTAAAAAAAAAAATAAAAAAAAGTTTTATTGGGGACAAAGTCAGTGGAGCAAAGAACACAGTGCTGGGCGCAGTGGCGCAGTCTGCCCCAGCTGGGGCTTCTTTCTGTAGAGCCTCCAGGAGATTTCACTGGTTGAGCGAAAACGGCGGGTTTTCTCCTCTTGACACCTGCCCAGCTCCTTTTTCTTGGTTTCTCCGAGGCTGTCTCTCTCAGTACTTTTCCACTGCCTTCTCGGGTGGTTAGTGTGTGTGTGTGTGGGGGGGTGAAGTCCAGGTTCCTCTCCATCAGGAGTTCTTTGCTTAACCCTTTTCTGCTGGCTGCCATTCCTCCCCAGCCCCCCCATCCAGATTCCCCTTTACATGACACCTAACCACAGACCCCACCCCCCCATCCTCCTTGCTTGCCCAACTCCCCACAATGCCCAACCATATGCCTAACTTGTGATCACAAAAGGCTTGCTTAACTGTTATAATTTTAACAATACTGCTTTAATAACAGTAACTCAATAAAAGGAATTGTTTAATCACTTTTAGCGAAAGCAAAATTCTTCTGTTACTTCTCCCAAACCACCCCTTTTCTTTTTAATACCATATTTTGCCTGAGCTTACTAACACTTGTCTCATTCTTTTCTGAATATCCTATCTTTGTGGGCACCGGCTGATGCAGCCATTTCAGGGTTTACCGGCATAGCTGCTATTTGCATCCCCTCAATAACATGAGATACTAGCCATATAAAGCAGGGTATTAAACATGGTAAAAACAAGCAGCCTGTGACAGCACAAAGGACGTAAAATACAACCTTTTCCCACACTCTGATGTTGGACATAACAATAAATCACTTGTTGCACGGATTTGCCGCTATTAGAGCGAACTAGATCAGGATGATGAGCGGAGGTCCAGTATAACATAGAGTCCCACCTCTCATGCCCATGGGCATGCAGCCCACAGCTGAGATAAAGGTCTTCTTGGTGACGAGCACAGAGGTTAACCCGGTCTTGCCCTCTACTGTTTTCAAATGTAACAAATCCGTGTTTTAACAGTCAGTCAATTCAAGTGCAGCTCCTTTGTAGCCACTTCCTTTGTTTCTAAGCAAATGTTTTTCGGCACTTTCTGTCAGTGTCCTTCCACCGACTCTCAGGGACATCCCAAATTTCGGGGACTAACCTCCTTTTCCCACAAATCAAGGTTACAGTTCGTGCCCCTTCCCTATACTCACAGTCCCTGTTACAGTTATAACACAATTTTCTCCATATACAATACCACCTGTGGTTACACGTTTCACACTCACACAAAACCCACGCTTCATGAAATTCGTGTATGCACTCGAGACATGGTATTACCCTAATAGGTTGATTTTCTAGCAATGCCCGATCTAACCCAAAACGCTCATAGTCTATTACCAAACAGCTTTTTCCCTGATATCTTTTTGTGGTTCCCCATACAGCGAGTAAGTAAATTTTCAGTGTCACGCCCGAACCCAGTCCCCTCCCGACAAATTTATTTAGTCCTTTTGAGGTAGACTCGTAGTTATCACTTGATGGTACCACAGTCCACTCCCGAGGCTTTTCCACCGGTCCTTTTCCTCGGGAGGCAGGAGTCCACCCCTTTTCTTTTGTTCGGATCGCTGTCTCGGTGGTCAGCAGCACCTGAAATGGACCTTCCCACTCGGGAGTTAAGGATTGATCGTTCCACACTTACATACTGATTTTCTACTTCTGTGCTGACAATATCCCTGTTATTACTCATAGATGGTAATCCAAACATCATTTCATAGGGAGAAATTCCCAGGTCTGTTCGTGGCTGAGTACGGATCCTTAATAAGGCCAACGGCAGGCATTTAATCCAAGGCGTCCGAGTCTCGATCATTAACTTAGTCGAGGTTTGTTTTGAAATTTGATTCATTCTTTCTCCTCTTCCAGAACTTTGAGGGTGCCACAGGGTGTGCCACGCCCATTCGATCCCTAAAGCTTCAGATAGTTGTTGTAAGATTTTTGAAGTGAAATGTGTTCCTCTGTCTGAGTCTATTCTTTCCATTAATCCATAGCTGGGGATAATGTTTTCCAATAACACCTTGGATCCCACGCTTGCCATTGCCCTTGGTGTGGGGAATGCTTCCACCCAATGAGGTAAGTGAGCCACTAATACCAACAGGTACTTCCACCTTTGTATTTGAGGTAGCTCTGTGAAGTCTACCTGGAGGCTTTGAAAAGGCCGTATGGCTAGCTCCCATCTCCCAGCCACCTTTCCTCTCATTACCTTTTTGTTCACTTTTTGACAAATCAGCAGCTAGTTGTTTAGCTGCCGTGTTTATTCCTATACACCCATATTCTCTAAGAAAAAATCACAAAGCGCTTGCATTCCCCAGTGTGTTTACTGATGCATTAATGACAGAAGTTCTTGTGATAATGTTTTGTTTAAAATCTGCCTTCCATGGACTGGTAAAGTCCATTTTCCTTATGGATATTTTTCACCCCCTATTTTAAGTATATCCTTCTCCTCTTGTTCTGTGAAATTCCCGACTTAATTCTCATAATCCCCTGGCGTTACTACTGCTGATGACTCTGTAGCTGTTTCTCTGTCTGCTTGATCTGCTAAGTTATTCCCCCTTATTTCCATCGATGCTCCCCTCTGATGCCCTCTCACACGCACAATTGCAATTTCTGAGGGGAGATTCAGGACTTTTAAAACTTCTCTAACCACCTGCTCGTGTACTAGCTCCTTCCCTTTTATATTCACAAGCCCACACTTCCCCAAATTTGTGGACTACTCCAAACGCATACTTTGAGTCTGTGTACACTGTCCCTTCCTTATGTTTCAAATATGTCCACGCCTGTTTCAGGGCATAGAGTTCACAGACCTGCGCTGACCACCCAGCAGCTATTTTCCCTTTTTCTAACACTCCCATTTTCTGCCCATAGATAACTGCATAACCCGATATTCTTTTCCCTTCTAGGCATTGAGAGGACCCATCAATAAATAGTTTTTCCCTATAGGGCAAAGGTTCATCTAACACTTGTTCTCTTGTTGTTGTTTGATAATTAATAAAATCCAAACAGTCATGTTCTGGTTCCTGAACACCCTCCCCATATAGAAATAGGGATTAATATTTTTAGTTGTTATTAACGTGAGCTCTATCTGATTGTCCTGGTTGGGGCTGGACTAGAGTTCCTGTTGGTTTCAGTAGCTGGAGGAGTGCTGCAGCACAGAGACCCCAGGGGCTCCCCAGGGCCCAGTGCCCTCACCTGTGTGCGGGGGCGGGGGGAGCACAGCTGGAGGGCTGGGCCCCGATTGGCTGATAGTCCATGTCATGTGACATTGTGCTCACCATATAAAGGCAGGAGAGGGCTGTGGGGTGTTGCCACTTCTGGGAGTGTGGCTGTGGTGGCTTTGTGTTTGGGATTGCTGGCTGGGAGCAGGTGGGTGTTGGTTGGCGGGTGGTGAGCAGCTGTATTTTACATTACCTGCTGATACTGCTGTCAGTGTATTATTCTGTTACTGTTATTGAACTGTTTTTATCTCAACCCGTGAGTCTCCCTTTGCCCCTCCGATTCCCTCCCCATTCCCAAGTGGGGGGAGGGTGGGTGAGCGGCTGTGTGGCGTTTAGCTGCTGAGTAGGCTCAAACCACAACAGTCCTTTTTGGCGCCCAAGGTGGGGCACAAAGGGTTGAGATAACAACAGATTTGATCTGTGAGTACTATCAAGTTTGTTATAATGCCGACTGCACATCCTGTTACAATGTCATTTGCTTGGCTCCTAAAATCATGGGTTTTGTTGCTGCAGTTGTGTTATGCATCCCATTACTTACTATATGTAGTCCCCATGCTGCTGCTTATTACCCGTGGGAATTGGATTAAGATTTTTGCCTTGCTGTATTATGTAACTCTAATTTATGGCATGATAAAATCTTCTGTCATGGGAGTTGTGGGGCACCTACTGGAATGGGTTAGTAACTACACCCTCCACCTTTTCTCCTCAGAAAGCCCACCCAAGGGGGAGATACCTTTTTCCATCTTCTCCAAGCTACTTGCAAGTATACTTGAGAATGCTGAGAACTCTGAATATCCATGGAATGCTCATATTAACGTTGTTGTCTTGTTTCTGGAAGCTGTAGTGTTCCTGAATGTGGTTCAGGTTCTGTTTCGGGTTAAGCAACTGTTTCTGAATACCACCCAGAGGTCTACCCCAGGGTTGCAGAGTTATGAGTGGCTGGGAGTGTGGGGTAGCATGGGCAAGTACCTAGGACAGTGGGGACCTCCAATGTTTTGGAATTTCACCCCTGAACAAGTGCGGGATCCTGAGAAATTAGTAAAATATTTAGAAAAGGTGTGCTGTCATCCTGACACCTCAAGAGAGACGCAGATCATTGCAACATGCTGGGGCCTGGCCCACGCCTACCGAACCTGCTCACCACTCTGCAGTACCCTCAAAAGGAAGACGTCTCTGCATCTGCGAGCAAAACAACCGGCACTGCAACCACTCTGACCCCCCCACCAGGCACTGCAGCCACTCCAACTCAGGTGACAGACACTGCAGCCAATCCGACCCCTACGATAATTACTGCAGGTGAACTGGAGCATCAATCCACAACAGTATCAGTTGCTCCCATACAGAAGAAGAAATACACTAAAAAATCCCCTCGCATTGTAAAAGGTGATGATGAACCAGGGCCGTCACAAGAACAGGAGGAGGAGGCAGATCCAGTGGTAATCACCCGATCCCTATCCCTGAGTGAACTACGACACATGCGAAAGGATTTCAGTTGCCATCCAGGCGAACACCTCCTTACCTGGCTGCTCCGATGCTGGGATAGCGGGGCCAACAGTGTGGAATTAGAAGGTAGAGAGGCCAGGCAACTGGGATCCCTGTCCAGGGATGCAGGCATTGACAAGGTTATTGGAAGAAAGACACAAACGCTCAGCCTTTGGAGATGACTGCTGTCAGGCGT